GTGAATTGACAGAAGTTAGAATTCATGGGCCATTGGATCGGGTCCCAGTGGCTTAATGGTATACGAGCTCGCCTTGTAACCAGAAGGTCCTGGGTTCGAAGCCCGGTTGGTGCGTACTGATGAAGGGTTAGTCCCAAACTAGGACGAAACAGCTGCCTAGAACTCCCAGGTTTTTCAATGGTTCTCTAACCAATGTCAGCTCATGATGAAATCCTGTAATTAATCAACCAAATCCCTACAAACCAATATTTGAATATCGTTTTGGTTTGTAAATGGTATGGATAATGCATCCATAAAATAAGTGCAAATTGAAACCATATATATATATAAAATTTTGACAAATTATGTATGTTATAAATGTGAGGTTAGGGACCACAGCATTGATGATGATGAGGAACATCAATGTATATCTCTTTTTTATCAGTATAATTAATTTACTTGATTCAAAATAATTATCATCATAAATATTCTATGCATCTAATTACAGTAATTATAAAGGGATACATACACATCTAAACATTTTCTGTATTACTAGAAGGACATCAGTACAATCAATCCATTCAAAATCTCTATCACAATCTGAATAAAATACAACTTTCCCGCTCAGATAGAAATTGTTCTTCCTATTCGGGGTCTTCAATGTATCTTTTCACATAGTGCAATTCCCCACTCTCTCCTCATAAACACATAAATATTCCCTCAAGTTAACTGTAATTTATATTTGTTTCCTTGTGACTAATACACTGAGAATTTCAAAGCGAAATTAGTTCAATTAATTTATTATTATTATTAATTATTATCCAGTGTTAGTAAGTAGGATAAACCAGTTTACAAAAATATTTCGCATGTTGTTAATTTGTCACGCTACTCGATAAGGCTGGAACAGATCTTTTAATGACTACTGTACACACACACACACACATTCATACACGAAATGATGACTTAGATGATAATTATTTGAATCGAACTCACCGCCTTACTCTCTCCTTCTCTCTCTCTCTCTCTGCATCTCTTATTCGAGGTAGGTAATTATTCTAAAGTAATACTGGAATTTGTTTTTCCTCCTCTGTGTCTATCAAAGGTATTCAGACAGAATGCTGCCTATATATTTATGTGTTACTTCAACTCACATACGATGATTTGTCTATGCCACCGCCCTCCCCCCTCCCTCACCTTTGTTGTAGTAGTATTCACCAATTTTATATTGCTATTGTTTATATCCTCTATAGTTTTAAGAGTAGAACTAATCGATAACTCGATTCGTAGAGAGAGTTATTCTTTATACATTCGTTTACCTACACCATTTCCCGTGCCGTGCCTAGCCTAGCATCTTTTTATTTTAATGCATCTATATCATCTCTGTCTATCTGTCTGTGATAAATGGATCGATGAGCAATAAATTCATATTCATAAACTGCATCTAATATTAACAAAAAATAGATATTAATGTTCCTTTCCTATCATTGCTTTCCTTCATCTTAGTTTCTGGTATGCTTATGCACTGGGAAATTTATCTTTTATGATAAGAAAAGAAAAGAAAAAAAGAGGAATACGCATAATATAACGATCGATTCCTCTCACCTGTTTATTACACATAACTAACTGTTTTTACATATTTTCACATTTATTTAACCCGATATAACCAGATTATTTATAACCAATGTGTGTTCTAATTGAATTATTCTATCAATCAAATTTGAAAATCTATTATGGCTAAGTCTAGTGAAATTATATGTCGTATAGAATGTGAGAGGTTATTGGAAAAGATGTTTTTTTTGACCTAGATATACCACTTGGTATCATAAATATCACCTAAAATGTGTAAGGAGAGATATCTTCACATAGGTCAGCACCGCTTAGAAATAGACCAGTAACAATGGTGCCGAAGAATACAAAATTCAGTGATATATATAATTTATAATCCACTCCGTACTTCTTTGATGTTTCCTTCAATCGCTGAACATGCACATAGTCCGAAGTTCGATTCCTTACCAACGCACCCTGATGTCAATGGTCGGTCTGCTAAAACTTTGGGCTACCGATATCATATGATGAAAATTCCATACTTGTATCAAAAATACTGTGTGGAGTCAACCTATAATAAAATCAATTACAATTTCTCTATATTTTGGTTTGTAAGGGTTTGTTATGTTTTTAAGAGTTGATCACGGACTGATATCAGTTAGAGAACCATTGAAAACCAGGGAGTACTGGACAGCTGCTGTTTCATCCTAGTTTGGGAATCATCGCCAGTACGCACCCGCCGGACGGGGTTCGAACCCAGGACCTTCCGGTTACAAGGCAAGCTCGTATACCATTCAGCCACTGGGACCCGATTCAATGGCTCATGAATTCTAACTTCTACCAATTCGTGATTTAGCGCGACCCCAACCATTGTCGTTGGTGAGACATCCATCCACACACGTGACATTTAATTGGACCTCACTGGTCACAACTTCTCACTAGAACTCCAGGAAACTCCATCCTGTAGCAAGTCACTAGCGAGCATCAGATTAATTTTCTATAGTTTGGTTTGTAAGGGTTTGTTACAATTTCTCTGTAATAAAGTGAACAACTTGTAAGTAGTGATTTCCAGCATCAACTGATGGCGAGTATGAATGAATAAAGCGAGAACTACAGTCTATCGAACAACTTGCTCTTTGGTGCAATCAAAAAAATCGATAGATATCCTTCTCATGTGAACTCCAACTGTATATACAAATTTACGTGTATCTGCGGGAGTAGTCATATTGGAAGAACAGAAAGAAGGGCATATCTACGATTTTCTGAACATGTACCAAAAAGCTTATGTCTAAAGTGAGTAAATGCTTTAAACAGTGCTATCGCCAGGCATCTTCTGGACATGGGTCATGAGGTGGACGTCACAAAATTGTTCAAAATTATCAATAGGCAAAAGAGTTCAGTTCTCCTCAAGTTTGCTGAAACCATCTCTATCAAGCGCCTGAAATCCGAATTATGCGTTCAGAAAGAAGCAGTTATCAGTCTTTCTTTGCCTATCCTGGTAACTGGATATTTCCATCTCTCTTTCATCTAAATGCGTACTGCCGAAAGGTTTCCATTGTGTATGATGACTATTGTTCGGAATAGTGTTTAACACTATATATATATATATATATATATATATATATATATATATATATAACTACTGTATGCATATAATGATTGACTTTTGTTTAAAATGAACTCTGAGCAAGCATGTTAAAATTGTTTCTGTACATATACTTAATAATTACTGTGGCCTGTAAGGAGCTGATGAGAAGGCAACAAAATAAATGATGGTACTGTGGTGAGAGCTGGATCCACTTCTATTCCGTTAGTGATCACCTTTATTACTGTATTCAGCCTATCGTCCAACCTTTGTCTACGTGCCAGTCTTAGTGGGTCTTGTTCTAGTGCATGCACTCCGTAAGCGACCTCGGGCAACTCAGACTCGTCTTCTGGTCTCGATAACAAATCTGCCAAGACATTTTCATTTCCAGGAACGTGTGAGATGGTAAAATCGTACTCCTGAAGACGCAACATCCACCGTGGGTCTCTTGTTGTCTTCAGAGACTGTGGCGGCTTATGATCCATTTCGATGTGGAACCGCCGGTCGAGTAAATAAGGCCTCCATTTGTCGATTGCCCATACCATCGCTAAACATTCTTTCTCTATCGTTGAATACTTTCGCTCTGTTTGTATCAAAACCCGACTGGCATACTCAACGATTCCCTCACCCTGTCTTAGGACAGCACCTGTGGCGTAGTCACTGGCATCTGTGCACACTGTGAACTGTCTTCCAGGTACAGGTAGCTTTAGTGTCATTTGTTGGTGGTCGAGCAGCTGTTTAATCCTGTCGAATGTCTTCTGCGATTCCTCCGACCAAACAAACTTTGGTTCACCTAGTAGCCTGTACAGAGGTGCTGCTATCTCATTGAAGTTCTTCACGAAGCGACTATAAAACGCTGCTCTACCTAAGAATTGTCTCAACTTTCTCTTTGAATTCGGGGCCGGGATCGTCTCTATTGTCAAGATTTTCTCCGGTAGTGATTTAATCTCACCATTTCCCACTTTACGTCCCAAAAGAGCTACATTCTTTTTGGCTATCTGAGACTTGGTTTTGTTGACGCACAGTCCAAAGTCTTCGATGCGTCGCGTCGTTACACTTTACCACTTTAATCTGCAAAAACTGTAGTTCTTGCTTTATTCAAATTCATTAAGGGGAATAAATGTATGATACCGAGTACTTTTTTTCTTCTTTGATTTCAATCAGTTATCTAACAATTCATCTACTAGTCACTGATGATATTTAGGTAATTTAATTTTGTTTGAATGGACAAAGTTTCGGTAACTACGACGGTATCCATATGATGAATTATTTTTTTCTCCACCTTTTCAGTCCATTTGTTGTAGATAATAAGAGAAGTAAAGTCTGAGAATTGAACACAAAATCTTTGTCTACAATAAGAAAAAGAAAAGATATTTGCGGTTTCATTAGCAAAACCTTCACAAAAAGAAAAAACAAAATTTCTTCTCGAGAAATAGATAAAATAAGAAATTTCGGGATTAAGCCGCATGGAATATTATATCCAACCTTTTTTCTCTTTTGGATAACTATGCCACCATCCAGTGTATACGTGGTTATATATATATATATATATATATATATAAGTGTGTATATGCGTGGAAGAGGGGAATAGAGATAACAAGCCAGGGTAAAGGGGAAATAACCCGTATAATTTTCCACCTGAAGTATACATAGTAAAATATTCAATTTACTTTTTTTTTCTCTTTCGTATCATTGAATATTTGTCTGATTGTTATCAGCAATCCTGGGGAATATATGCATGAGAAACAGAACATACAAAAGGGATATTTATGGACAAGACATACATACACCTCTTTTTTGTTTCAATCAAGATGGAAATTGTTCTTTTGTGATTAACATAATCCTCTTCTCCTCTATATGATGCTGTTATTACTTTTTTATAAAAATTCAGGTTGAAAGCGGATATCTTCAATTCGTCTGATCAAAATACAATTCTCACAAATTTCAATTCATTATCTTCATCAGCTTTACCGCCAAGCTATCCGTCTGAAAAGCATAATATTCTCGTCAATCCTGCTCCCCCTCCTCCTCCTCCAACTACTACTACTAATAATAATACCAATAATAATAATACTAATAGTAGTGCAAATGAAAAGGAAACAGTCACTAAGTCGAATATCAATCACGTAACAAGTAATACTTCCCCAGCTTCACAAGGTAAGTGGTATTTGGAAGTGAGTTAGTCAGTTATTGGCACGTGGATTTATGCATTAGTTTGTGTCGTGCATCTCTTCAACTTTTTTTCACTAAACGCTTATTGATAGCTTAGAAGTCTGTTGAAAGTTTACTTCATATAAAGAAACAAAATAATTGAGCAAAGAATATCCTTTTCGATAATTTCCTCTTCTGGCTCTACAATTATATATATTTGCAAGTATTGGTTTTGTAGGGATTTGGTTTGATTGCATGGAGGGTTTCATCATGAGCTGACATCAGTTAGAGAACCACTGGAAAACCAGCTGGGAGTACTGGACAGCTGTTTCGTCCTAGTTTGGGACTCTTCAGCAGTACGCGCCCAACGGGATTCGAACCCAGGACCTTCTGGTTACGAGGCGAGCTCGTAGACCATTGAGCCACTGGGACCCGATCCAATGGTCCTTGAATTCTAACTTCTGCCAATTCACGACATAGCGCGACCATTTCGCAATGTCTTCTTCGTGAGTAACTGTCCTCATCTTCGACCTGCTGTACCCTACTGGTCACGGCTTCCCACTAGAACCCCAGGTTAACTGCCTGAATAGGGCCAGTCACTAGTGAGCATCAGATTAATTTGCAAGTATTGGTTTTGTAGGGATTTGGTTTGATTGCATGGAGGGTTTCGTCATGAGCTGACATCAGTTAGAGAACCACTGGAAAACCAGCTGGGAGTACTGGACAGCTGTTTCGTCCTAGTTTGGGACTCTTCAGCAGTACGCGCCCAACGGGATTCGAACCCAGGACCTTCTGGTTACGAGGCGAGCTCGTAGACCATTGAGCCACTGGGACCCGATCCAATGGTCCTTGAATTCTAACTTCTGCCAATTCACGACATAGCGCGACCATTTCGCAATGTCTTCTTCGTGAGTAACTGTCCTCATCTTCGACCTGCTGTACCCTACTGGTCACGGCTTCCCACTAGAACCCCAGGTTAACTGCCTGAATAGGGCCAGTCACTAGTGAGCATCAGATTAATTTGCAAGTATTGGTTTTGTAGGGATTTGGTTTGATTGCATGGAGGGTTTCATCATGAGCTGACATCAGTTAGAGAACCACTGGAAAACCAGCTGGGAGTACTGGACAGCTGTTTCGTCCTAGTTTGGGACTCTTCAGCAGTACGCGCCCAACGGGATTCGAACCCAGGACCTTCTGGTTACGAGGCGAGCTCGTAGACCATTGAGCCACTGGGACCCGATCCAATGGTCCTTGAATTCTAACTTCTGCCAATTCACGACATAGCGCGACCATTTCGCAATGTCTTCTTCGTGAGTAACTGTCCTCATCTTCGACCTGCTGTACCCTACTGGTCACGGCTTCCCACTAGAACCCCAGGTTAACTGCCTGAATAGGGCCAGTCACTAGTGAGCATCAGATTAATTTGCAAGTATTGGTTTTGTAGGGATTTGGTTTGATTGCATGGAGGGTTTCATCATGAGCTGACATCAGTTAGAGAACCACTGGAAAACCAGCTGGGAGTACTGGACAGCTGTTTCGTCCTAGTTTGGGACTCTTCAGCAGTACGCGCCCAACGGGATTCGAACCCAGGACCTTCTGGTTACGAGGCGAGCTCGTAGACCATTGAGCCACTGGGACCCGCTCCAATGGTCCTTGAATTCTAACTTCTGCCAATTCACGACATAGCGCGACCATTTCGCAATGTCTTCTTCGTGAGTAACTGTCCTCATCTTCGACCTGCTGTACCCTACTGGTCACGGCTTCCCACTAGAACCCCAGGTTAACTGCCTGAATAGGGCCAGTCACTAGTGAGCATCAGATTAATTTGCAAGTATTGGTTTTGTAGGGATTTGGTTTGATTGCATGGAGGGTTTCGTCATGAGCTGACATCAGTTAGAGAACCACTGGAAAACCAGCTGGGAGTACTGGACAGCTGTTTCGTCCTAGTTTGGGACTCTTCAGCAGTACGCGCCCAACGGGATTCGAACCCAGGACCTTCTGGTTACGAGGCGAGCTCGTAGACCATTGAGCCACTGGGACCCGATCCAATGGTCCTTGAATTCTAACTTCTGCCAATTCACGACATAGCGCGACCATTTCGCAATGTCTTCTTCGTGAGTAACTGTCCTCATCTTCGACCTGCTGTACCCTACTGGTCACGGCTTCCCACTAGAACCCCAGGTTAACTGCCTGAATAGGGCCAGTCACTAGTGAGCATCAGATTAATTTGCAAGTATTGGTTTTGTAGGGATTTGGTTTGATTGCATGGAGGGTTTCGTCATGAGCTGACATCAGTTAGAGAACCACTGGAAAACCAGCTGGGAGTACTGGACAGCTGTTTCGTCCTAGTTTGGGACTCTTCAGCAGTACGCGCCCAACGGGATTCGAACCCAGGACCTTCTGGTTACGAGGCGAGCTCGTAGACCATTGAGCCACTGGGACCCGATCCAATGGTCCTTGAATTCTAACTTCTGCCAATTCACGACATAGCGCGACCATTTCGCAATGTCTTCTTCGTGAGTAACTGTCCTCATCTTCGACCTGCTGTACCCTACTGGTCACGGCTTCCCACTAGAACCCCAGGTTAACTGCCTGAATAGGGCCAGTCACTAGTGAGCATCAGATTAATTTGCAAGTATTGGTTTTGTAGGGATTTGGTTTGATTGCATGGAGGGTTTCATCATGAGCTGACATCAGTTAGAGAACCACTGGAAAACCAGCTGGGAGTACTGGACAGCTGTTTCGTCCTAGTTTGGGACTCTTCAGCAGTACGCGCCCAACGGGATTCGAACCCAGGACCTTCTGGTTACGAGGCGAGCTCGTAGACCATTGAGCCACTGGGACCCGATCCAATGGTCCTTGAATTCTAACTTCTGCCAATTCACGACATAGCGCGACCATTTCGCAATGTCTTCTTCGTGAGTAACTGTCCTCATCTTCGACCTGCTGTTTATATACATAGAATATTTTCTATAGTTTGGTTTGTAAAGGTTAGTTATGTTTTTACGAGTTGATCACGGATTGATAACAGTTAGAGAACCATTGAAAACTGGACAGCTGTTTCATCCTAGTTTGGGAGTCATCCCACCAACGACATTGGTTGGGGTCGCGCTAAATCACGAATTGGTAGAAGTTAGAATTCATGAGCCATTGAATCGGATCCCAGTGGCTGAATGGTATACGAGCTTGCCTTGTAACCGGAAGGTACTGGGTTCGAATCCCACTGGGTACATAGAATATTCTAGAATAGTAGTCAATAACAATATTAGTGTTCTTAAATAATATCGATTCGTTAAGTAAGACCACAGTGGAATTACAGTTCATTAAAGATGCTTAAACTATAATAATATTAGTAATAATATGATGCTAAATAGAATATCAACTAAAATTAAGGAAATTTCTACAAAAAATTGAGGATCATTCGAACCTAGATGGCCAAGGTAAGAATAATGTCTGAACTAGCTTCTTTTGGATACATAAATTAGGCTTCTTAATGTGGATCCCAACGGCCTCAGGAATATTTAGTAAACGAACTCCTAAGGCGAAGTTAAGATTTGTTGGTATGCGGTAAATGACTTTGAAAGCTGCCTCGTTGACATCAATCTTGTGTTCTGTATCCACAAGATGAGATAGAATAGCGCTACGAATAGATTTTGTTTGTCCTTTACTTAACCACACAGGGTGATGTTCGGAAATTCGACGAGAAACACGTCTAATTGTACGGCCTATGTAACTGGCTACACAGGAGCAGTTAAACTGATAGATACATATGGAAGAGGCGAAATTAGGCAGTTTATCTTTTATTCCCGAACGCAAAATAGGAGTGGTTTTGAAGACAGCGTAGTTCAGCAGCATGGAATGCTCTTTTTTACCGCATTTCTAGAACGTTGTGTTAGTACCTCGCTGTTGTTGTCCCCGAGGAACTGAATTTGTAAGAATAAGGCCTTTTTAGGGATTGTTGATACCTTGGGCTGCTTTAATTTTAGATTCATATTCTTATCAATAAACTTCCCTGGATAATATTATTAAGTTCCTCATCAAGACATTCATCCGAGCAGATTGCTCTTTCTCTGTGAACCAATAAATTCATGATATCATTCGACGTATCTTCCTTATTCACCTATGTACCACTTATGGAAACAGTAGAATTTGTATGCGAAGAACTCATAAGACGAAATTTCCTTAATTTTAGTTGATATTCTATTTGGTATTATATTATTATTATATTATTATAATTTAAGCATCTTTAATGAACTGTGGTAATTCCATTGATCTTACTTTACAAATCGATATTATTTAAAAAACACTAATATTGTTATTGACTACTATTCTAGAATATTCTATGTATATAAACATATACACATAATTGTAGAGCCAGAAGAGGAAATTATCGAAAAGGATATTCTTTGCTCAATTATTTTGTTTTTTCTATAGACGTCTGAATGAATATTTTCGTCGTAAAAATAATACAAACACTGTTTAGTCAGATAGGTTTGTTCTCTTAGATGAAGGCGCTGACAAAATCCAGAGTCTTCATAACACCTTCAACAGAAATCTAATGTTTTGTATACGATTTGCTTCTGTTAAATGTAAGATGATGCTGCAGGCCTTGACTACACCAACTTCTAGTTCAACGATAGGGAGTGAAGTAGTAGAGCATGTTGACTATTTGGGAATTCGCATCTGCTTTGATGGACTGATTTCTGATGAAATCTCAACACAGATATAAAAGGCTCGTGTGGCATTTGCCAGCGCTAACGTCGTCTGCGGCTCAGATGTGAAATCAGGCTATCGATCAAACGACGTGTCTACTGCACAGCATTTCACCCTGTCCTCATTTATAGCTGTAAGACAACCAGTGGAAGTGGAAGACATGAAAAGGCTAGTTGTCCTTGAATACAGATGTTTGCATTCTGTTTTCCGTGTTAAGTTAAGTAGTATAATATGGTGAGTAATACTGAGGTTATTCGTAGTGGTTAGGTAAGAAGGGCAAGTTAATTGATGAGGTTGTGTAGCTAAATCGATTAGGATGGCTAGGACACGTGTTGCTCATTTTGAGCCACTGCCTTCCTTGACGAGCAATGTTAACTGACGTCAGTTTGGGTTGGTTAAACAGTTAGAAATGGTCAAACCGAAACCTCGAATCAGTCTATGAAGACTTTGACCGTTGGATACAGCCACGTCGGGATGTGTAGTTTGCTTGACTGGGAACCTCGGCATTCTAAGAACCAATGGTAGGAGACTATTAGTGATATGCCTCAAAATCATTCTCACTGGCGCAGACGCATTCACTCTTTATGATCGCCCATATCCATCAAACCCTCGTGTTTTTCCGTATCATTATTCTCTCTGACGTACATTTCTGCTCATTATAGTCCTTTTGAATCTTTTTTGTGTGCTACATGAAGTGTGGCAACTTCAACTATGCTCTTCTCCACAAATTTCTGTATTTAAGCTTAGTCAGTCAGTTTCGTGGATATTTACAGCCAAGATCTATAAGGCTTTCTATTGTTGATTCTCAGCAAGAAATTAACCGGTATCAGTTGACAAGATTGTGGTTATATAATAACTGGTATTGAATGAGGTCTATTTTTAATCAATATAAGATATGGTTGAATTCTACGAATCATCTGTGAAACACCCTAATCAGTTAACCATAAATTCCCTTGCCTATTTTAGAGAGTTACATGAATCCAGTTTCTGTTTGTCTGGTTGTTTTCTTATGAAATGTTTTTTGTCCATAATTAACGAAATGCCATCGAATGGAATGAAAAAGGTATCTTTATTGGATACCCATTGCACAATAGGCGGCTGTCATGACCCAGTGGCCTAGTGGATAACGCTTTGGCTAGGCCCAATTCCTAGTGGGAATATTGTTACTCACTGGAGACGCAGGTACATCCAGATGACGAGTCCCAAGTACCACGATGTGCACATCCTGTATTTAACTGCGAGTCCCCATCAACCTAAATGATATCCTTATAGTCCTCGCTTCCCTGGATGTCTACTCTTTAACTTTAATTCCCAAAGAAGAAAGAATTTTCAGTTACTACAAAATATGTGATTAGAGATGGAGTTAATGAAAACATTTTAATACTTGCGTTCAGAGTAATTGGTAATACTTGCCTACTGTAGTTGATTGCTAAGTAACTATACAATAAATGATATCTATTTGTATAGATTATTTTCTTACAGACATATTTTTAAGACCTATTTGTTCTTTTCCTGGTTATTATTTAATTTGAAGACCTAGGTTAGAAATGAGGGAAACGATTTATAGCACAGGTGGATGATATTGATGTAGTTCCTTTTTCTCAACTGGATGGTATATTCACGAAGCTTTCGCTGTCTTTCTAGACGACACGTTCAGCGCAGACTTCAATACGAAATGAGCTTTTAGACTTATTCATGAGTTTATTAGACATCTCATCTGATGACTTTGGATGTGATTGGGTTGTTTCCTGAGAATTTCTCACCCTCTTGTTTACTTGTATTGCTATTGATTATTTTGTTGACCTGATAGGTGACCTTTCTTCTTCCATTGTGACTTCCTGTCCACCTATTGATAAACGTTATCTGTGTCAATGTGTATTTCAATTGCAGATTTGTCTGGGTACCAGGCTTTTAGAAATTCTCTGACATGTTTTGTTGTTGTTTCCTTTGTCTAGAATTTGTACATTTTTCCAGTCAAATTGGTTTCCGTAGTTATTTGCGTGCATCGATATAGGGGAATGGATATTATGTCTTTTGGCAACCAGCTTATGTTCGGGAATGCGAAGCCTAGTAGGACGTCCAATTTTATCAATATGTTTTTCACAGTTGTTGTAATTTATCTTGTAGTTCAATTGGATTCTTCTTCTTTTGCTATCACGTCTTTTGGCTGACACTAGCATAGACTTAAGTGATTTTGTTGGTTTTTGGGTGACATCTATTTCAAAAGGTTTCAACGATCTCTCCTTGATTTAATATATGGTTGGACAATTTTTTTGTGATTTCATTGTCGGGATTTTCTAATGAAGTTTTGTGGATATTCATATTTCTGAAAGAAAGTCATAAGCTATTTGTCTTCTAAGCTTCTCAAGACTGAAATGCTGCAGTGTGTTCTGGCAGTTTTGAATAATGTTTATATACAACTGCTTTTGTGCACTGTGTGTAATTGGTGTATGTATTGGTGTTGTAATTGAGTATTTGATCGGCATACGTTAGTTTTCTGTACACTTGAATTTTTCATTTTTCTGTGCTTGTTAGCTTGACCAAGACATCTACTGTTTTCGGATCCCTCTTCTCTTGTGAATTTGATGTCATTGAAGATGTTTTTGATCAGGTTGTAAGAGTTTTCTAAAACGCTTATCATCAGTGTGTCATCTACGTAACATATACAAGCTTAAGGCTTGACTTTTAGCAACTGAAGAATTGTATTTTTGAGTGTTGGGAGAGGCACTCATCACTGCTGAGTAATTATTGTATCGTTTCGTCCGATAGTTTGTGTCCAGTCGAAGTGTACGATACTGCGACATCAAAAGATACCACAATTTTATGATCGTCTATTTGGATGTCTTTCATTTTCTCCAGAAGTTGAATTGGCGATTCGATGGAATGAGCACAGATTTCTGTCAGGTATTTCAGTTTAGAATATATCCTGATAACTCAGTGGAAAGAACAACACAGATGTAGCACGAAAGCGAACAACTCCCGACTTGATTTTAACTCATTTTTATTGCATCTTATACACTGTTCTCAATTGTTATGTCATGTATATTTGAAGTAAAGTCGAACTAGAACTACTAAAATTTTATGAAAGATACTTTTAATTCTCTTTCTAAATGTGTTGTAAACAAATACACCTTTGATTCTTTTTTTACAGTAAAACAAAGTCCTCTAATAGCCTCCCAACCAATCAAAATCAATTATCGAGAGGATAATAAAGATCGCAGAGCTAAACAATTAGATTTAAAGCATTTAACCTCTGAAAAAATCCAATCGAAATTGCCTATGAATGCTGAAACCACAAATACAAATGAACCCTACTATATAAAATCTCAGTCTACACAAAATAGTCAACCGAGTGGTTTATGCATGTCACCAAGATGTCCACCAGATGGTGCTGCATTTCATGAAATTTCTCCGTCTAATCTCAGTAAATCAAAGAAATCTGTAATATATGAAAATTTAATCGATAGATATTTATTGGTAGAGAAGAATGAATATTTGAAAAAAGAGTTAATGACACAACAAGCATTGACTACCACTACTACTACTACTACTACTGTTACGAGCAATACAACAAATACTGTCACTAATAATAACACAAGTACAATAAGTAATCATCCCCTGACTACTAAAATTACTGATTGTTCAACACAAAAAGTGCCAAAGCTTCAAGAAAAGTTACCTGAAGTATCTGAGAAAAATCCTGAAGTCATCCCACATACTTCTTCTGGTGTAGCTAACGATAAAGTAAGTTTTCAGGGTGTTTATGTATGTCTTCAACCTGTTTGCATTCTTGTTTTCATCACTCTTATATGATGAATCAAATTAAGTCAGAAGAGTAATTGGTTACAGTGCTGAAGACCAGTACACCCTTCAGATATAATGAGAAAGTATTTCTTAACAAAAGATGCTCGTGAACTGATAAATTAACACTAAATTAGGTGAATTACAGAGCGATGTGTGTCGGTGGTTCACCGGTAGAATGCTCACCAACCGTACACTTGGTCCGGGGTTCGATCCCCAGCCGATTCACTCCTAACCCTTGGTTAGCAGGTTTTTTGTCCGAGTAAAGAGGAGACGTTCGTCGTGAGACTAACAACCCCACCCCGTGAAAAAAAATTAACACCACTTCTACTCAAATTCAACAGCTGAAAGCTTGAAGCCCTATGTTTCACTGGGAACTCAAAAGGAATAACTAATAATTATAGTAGATACACAGCGATGATATCACATATCGCTATATGCACCAGTTTGAATGAGCGCCATTAGGATATGAGTAATAAAACGAGCATTTATGTTGCAATTGACCACATGTACTCGGATAAAATCATGAAAATGCAATTTTCTTTGTTTAACTTTGAAATCTACTGTTTAGACAGAACTATAAGTCAACATTTCATGTTACAGACTAGCAAGAACTGTGAAACTGTCCAATTAAATACCTCCTAAAAAAATGTTTCCAATGCAAAATGTCTAAAAAATATAATATTTCTGTCATTACGTGAACACAGTAGCGAACTATGCTGCTATAATTAGTGTTGTTGGTGTTAGGCTATGCTATAGCATCGCTCAAAATACGTTGATGATAGGTTCATAAATTGATTTTTATACAATTGAATAATACTGATAATAATTTGCTTTACTCAAAAAACAGTACTTATGATACAGTGTGGAATTCTCAGTATTTGGTACAATATTGCATCTAATTTACTCAAGAATAGCAAAAGCAATATATTATATATATTACAAGGTATAGGTAACCAAGATTGATTATATTATTAATATTTCCTTTAGTTCCTAGAGGAACATAGGGCTTCAGCCGCATGTCTCCATTGTGTTCGGTTCTCTGCCAACGTTTTCACCTGTCTGCCCACATGCTTTCATCTCCTCTTCACATGACCTACTCCATGTAACCCAACTCTCACTGACGACCAACTCACCGCTTCCCATTCGGGTTCCACTCGAGTGATGGCCTGGCATGTGATTTCACTCACTTGATGGTTTGTTTTCTGAGAGTATGGCCAATCCATCTCCATTTCCTCATGCACACCTTCCTGTTGCACAATTGGTTCCTGCTGGGTTGGTTCGTTCATTGCCAGAAATCCCTGTTGCTGATCTTTCCTGGTCAGCCATCTGATCTTGAGTACTGAGCGAAGATAGCTGTTGATGAAGATCTGTAGTTTGTTCGAAGTGCCTTTCGTGAGGTGGCATCAAGTCTCTGATCAGTATAGTAGCACTGACTTCACATTGGAGTTGAAAATCCGGATCTTATTTTTCATGCTGAGTGCTGTTGATCTCCGCACAGACTTGAGAGTAATGAAAGCTTGCCTTGCTTTCCCGATCCTCGCTGCTTTGATATCCTCATCAGTTCATCCGCCTGTAGTTGGTATTAGTGGAGACAATAAAGTCAAAAATTTACGGGAAGTGTAAAATGAGAATAATAATAATAATAATGGAAATAACTAAAATTATAAGATAATTGAAGAAGTAGTGTCATCATTAACTACAAATAAGAGAAAATAAAAGAGCCATTTATTTTGCTAATTACATTTTACGTTGTAAGTTCCACGATTAACACCATCTCTGTCACATAGAACACGAGCCAAATAATGTATCAATGGATTTTTGTATTTGGTTGTGTGAATAAAAAGTGGTAATGAATTCAGTTGAAAAGTGATAAGTAGACGTTGAAACTACAAATAATGCAAAACAAATTTTCACTCAGAGCATTGTCGAATAAAATGTTTGTTTTTACGAGTTGATCACGGATTGATATCAGTTAGAGAACCATTGGAAACAAGTATGGAATACTTGACAGCCAAATGTTTCATCCTAGTTTTGGGAATCATCGGCAGTACGCACCTAGCACAGGGGGTTTGAAGCCAGGACCTTCTGGATACAAAGCAAGCTCGTATACCATTCAGCCAGTGGGACCCGATTCAATGACCAGTCCATGAATTCTAACTTCTACCAATTCGTGATTTATCGCAACCATAAACTAATGTCATCGGTGGGAAATCCACCCTCACACTTGACTGGATGGACCTCACTTGTCAGGATGAAGTTGCCAAAAGTTCTAGTAGGAATTCCTGACCACTGGGGGCCACCAAGTTGCGTATGAGGAGAGATACTTACCGATGACATTGACTGACCATCCAGTCAAGTGTGAGAATGGATTTCCCACAGATGACATTGGTTGGTGCCAGTCGCGCTAAATCACGAATTGGTAGAAGTTAGAATTCATGGACTGGCCATTGAATCGGGTCCCAGTGGCTGAATGGTATACGAGCTCGCTAGCCTTGTATCCAGAAGGTCCTGGGTTCGAACCCCTGTGGTGGATGCGTACTGCCGATGATTCCCAAAATAGGATGAAACAGTTGGTTGTCCAGTACTCCCTGCTTGTTTTCAATGGTTCTCTAACTGATATCAATCCGTGATCAACTCGCAAAAACAAATCTAATCCTTACAAACGAACAATTGAAAATAAAATGTTTGTGTTTCATTTTCCATACCTTTTTGTATGGTTTAACGAGGTTCATATACCAATAGTTCAATGGTTAGTGATACTGTTTGTTAGAATTCACCAATTCGATATTTCGACATCAAGGAGCAGGATGATTCTCACTGGAACTTCCTTATTAGTCTAAAATATATTATTATTCTTTTCTTTTACTGTGTTTTGAAATAAAAGATGATGAGTTGGAATCATATTTAGGACGCCAACCTGATGTGGGCAGATAATAATAATAATTTGCTTTATTCCAAAACAGTACATGTGATACAGAATGGAATTCTCAGCATTTTTTACTACAGTATTGCATCCAGTTAGTACATTATCAATAAATAGAATTCTACATAGATTAAGGAAATCTCAGTTCATTATGACAACAACATATTGGCATGTCGGTAGCAAAGCCAAAACTGAACGGTGTTTGAAGGTGTTAGAAAAGTAGGTGCTTTCATATTTACTGGCGTAAGCGGAAGAAAGAAACAAAGCAGCACAAAACGGAAAAAAAGAGAAAAAAGGAAAAGAAAGAAAGAAAATGTTATACCTATAAATGATGTGAGTTGGAAAGACGAGGTCCACTGGTACTACTGACTATTCAATGAATTATAGGTGTTACGCCTGTTCGGAACTGATGAGTTCCGAACTAAATACTTAGAAGTATTGAAAGGTATAATTTTACATTATGAATAGTTCAGTTTTCTGGATAATCGAGAGAGAGAGAGAGAGTATATCTCGCTTCAGGGTAAGGAAAATATTTTCTTCGAAGTAATCGAAAAAAAGGGATTGTTATAAACAGACACATTATCAATATCACTACTGTAATGTAGTGTTTACAATGCAGTCTACTCATAAGAAAGGCTAACTAACAAAAGTGGAATGAAAGGGTGATTTCTAAAATTAAGAATCAAGTCAAAACCAGACAAAGCATATAAAAACTGTTAAGGAATTTTCCATCTTATTATATTGGAACTGCAGGGAATTATATATATATATATATATATATATATATAGAGAGAGAGAGAGAGAGAGAACCATTGAAAGCCACGAAGTAGTGATCAGATTTTTTGTCATTGTCTGGGACTCTTCAGTACAATGCACCCATGACCCCACCCTTAGGGAACGAACCCAGTACCTTTTAGTTACAAGGTAAGCTCAGTGACTATCTAGCCACTTTGAAACCAACACTTGGAAATTATTCTAAAGTCCACTAGTCACTGATTACAGGATGAAATTGCCGAAAATTCTAGTAGGAAGTCATGACCTCCGGGGGCCACCAGGTTGGGTATGAGGAGAAATACTTACTGATGACATTGACCGGTCGTTGCTCTATGTATTGCAAATTGGCAGAAGTCAGAATTGATGGGCCATTGAAATTCATCCCAGTGGCTGAATGGTCAAATAGCTCAGCCTGAAGTTCCTTGGCTGAATCTCTGGAGGTGTAGTTATGAGTGTGTACTGTTGAAGAGTCGCAAGCATAGACGAAACATTTTTTCCATTATTCCCTGTTCTTTAATGGTTCTTTGACTGAAGTTAGTTGGTGATTAGTCTTGATGTATATATAGTCAGCACTAAATATTTTAATGTAAGCTGTAATAAACGAGTTCATTTCATTGTTGTGAAATAAAGTGTTTATAAATTTGTTGGCAATACCCTAAGAACATTTTTTTTATAATGTATATTCAGACTCAAATACCAGAGGTATATATGGTTTAGGGTAAGAGTTTAGTTGTATTTTAAATATCTCCTGGTGACAAGTAGGTATTTTTGACCAAATTAGGAGTCTTTTCAATAATCACACTACATTTTAATGAAGATGTTCGTAGGAAACACCTCCTGAATTAAGCTTTTTTAAGTAAATTCAAACTCATATTATTTAATTTTCAAGTATTGGTTTTGTAGGGATTTTGTTTGATTGGATGGAGGATTTCATCATGAGCTGACATCAGTTAGAGAACCACTGGAAAACCTGGGAGTTCTGGACAGCTGTTTTGTCCTAGTTTGGGACTCTTCATCAGTACGCACCTACAGCCAGGGTTCGAACCCAGGACCCTCTGGTTACAAGGCGAGCTCGTAGACCATTGAGCCACTGGAATCCGATCCATGAATTCTAACTTCTGCGAATTCACGACATAGCGCGACCATTTCGCAATGTCTTCTTCGATGATTTACTGCCCCATCTTCAACCTGCTGTACTCTACTGGTCACGGCTTCCCACTACAACCCCAGGTTAACTGCCTGAATAGGGCCAGTCACTAGTGAGCATCAGATTAATTTTCAAGTATTGGTTTTGTAGGGATTTTGTTTGATTGCATGGAGGATTTCATCATGAGCTGACATCATATTATTTAGCATCAAGATCTTAGGTGTCTTTACATATGCTTTCATATCTTCAATATCTGTTTAATTCCTCTGTGGAAAGAAGAATTGTAATCTGTTTCAAAGTTCTACCACACACCACACACTGTGAACCAATGAAAACTGTGGGAAGTTGTTCATTTATTAAAAAACCTAACACCAGAAAAAACAGGCAACTGCTGTTCAGTTTGTATTGCTTAGTTGTCGACTGGCGTCTCTTACTTCAACCAGTCACCATGATATTTAACCATTCTATTTCTAGAATAAGTCTTCTTTTTCTGTGAAGTTTTGCTAAATAATGCTGTCATTTTTATGTTTTCTTCATTTCTTCTTATATACTTGAATTACTCATCTAAATTTCAATTTTTAACGGGGGCTTTGATGAGTGGAATTGTTTTATTTAAGGCCTAGAAAATAAATAACAACCCAGTCACACAAATAATATACACTTGTGTACAGATATGTAAAAGGCTATAAAGTTAATTCACTCACACACAACTCGACAATCTAAATCACCGTCTTGAGCCCCTGGAATAAAACACTCACCTACTGAAGATAATAATCCTAATGACTATGTGAGAATTTCATTTACTTGTGATTATTATTATTATTGTTATTATTACTTAAAGTATCAACTTCTGTGATGTACGATTGTCTCGTCTGAAATATATTTAGAACATACATCATCAAGGCTGTCGAGATAATCAAAGTTAATCAGAGGAATAATAGCAATTCCCATGCCTAACTATATATATACATATTTATATCAGTATCTATACCCATGATAATTAACATAATAATACCATTGAATATTAGTGAAGTTAATGTCACCAAGTAATGTGACAGTGGAAATCACAATAGTTAGAGTCTTTTTGTGTGTTAGCTGATGCTTATTTCTTTAAAAAGATTTATATAATGCAGTACTGCATAAAAATCTATGCGTTTCATTATTATATGAATCATCATTCACTTCTTTATATGTCAAATTTCAAATAGTTATGCTTGATTATTTATTCAAAATAATACAATAAATTTGGTGGATATATATTAAACGTGTACAGTCATCTTTCGTCAGTTAGTTTAAATGAATTTCCTGCTAACTTAGAAACATCTAAGTTAGCAAAGAAGTCTGTCTCCGTAGTTTATCTCTAAAGTTACACGGTTATTAAGGGGTTTATATGTACCCTGGGTTCCACTGACGATTTACGTCTAATGTAATACAAACTCGAAGACTTACAGGTGAAAACCAACAAACTGGCTAAAGAAGCCGGCTGTGAAGGTAGGACTTCTAGTGAACATAGGAAAGAAGAAGGTGACGAAGAAAACCAATCAACAACAACAACAACCAGCACCGATCACTGTCAGCGAGAGAGATTTGAAAGAGGTTACTTCCTTCCATATTAGTTTGTTTATTAGATGTATCACACTGTGATGAAACAGTATTATTTACTGGATGACGTTTCGAACAAAATTTATTGTTTATAATCATTTCATCAATTATAAACATACGACTTCGAAACTTAAGTTTTATAGTTTTCTTTATTCTTCCCTATATGTCCTAGGGGTAGTAGAATCTTCCAGATATCTGTGAAAGGTGTTGAATCATTCCTATTACACGTATTTGCAGTTGATTCGATAAACAAAGCTTCTGTTATCAATCTCTCCCTCCAGCCTGTGACATAAGATTTTAAAACTGTCATCCTGTTACTTCCTTCATTTATCAAGGAAGCATCCTTTCAACTACTGGCGGAAGAGATAAAGATGTCAAAGCGGGAATCAGAAAGGCAAGGCAGACTGTCATTACTTTGAAATCAGTTCGGAAATCTGCTGCAATAACCCAGCAAAAACAACTAAATTCTGATTTTCGAAACCAGTGTTAAGTCACTCAGTTCTTCTAAGTGCATCAGAAACTTGCAGTACGCGTCACGAGAAGTATTTCCAACAAGTTACTGCAGACTTTTACCAACAGCTGCCTTCGTTCAGTATTGAAGATGAAACGGCTGGCCAGGAAGAATTAGCAACAAGAAACTCCGGTTGGCAACGAAACAACCAATAATCTATTGCTCAACAAATATGTAGGAGAAATTTGAGATGGATTGGGCACATGCTGAGGAGAATGTCGAATTACAAAGTGCACCAAGCCATCCCTCGAATGGAACCCGGACGGGTAACGACGAGTGGGGACTTCATCCGAGGGTGCCATGGAGGAGATTGTATGAGGAGGAAATGAGAGGCTATGGCCAACCGTGAAGGCAACTAAAAAAGGCTTCAGAAAATAGGACAAAGTGGAGACGTGCTGTTGAATTCCTATGTTCCACTCGAAACCCATGAGAACAATAGTTATATAAAATATAAACTGCAGATAGCCATCAAAAGTCGAACATAACAAAGATAAATCAAAGCGCATGAGAAAAGGACACTAGTGTTGAGTAATCCAGAAAGTTGATAAGGGAACCCCCCTAAAATACACTGAGTAATGAAGTGGAATCCTTCAATAACACAGTCAGCATAAGGAATGGAAACCCAGCTTCCTTCACTTATAAACATTACATGAGAAAAACCGATTCTGTGCAAAACCTGGGTGTGCTGAAGAAACATCTAATTGTTCATCTGAAATTCAGAGAAAATACAATTAATGTTCTTCCGAAGCCGTCTGCTGAGAGAAATTTGAAGGACGTTCTCTGCTGCCACTCTACGCTTCACCTTTATGCATGTTTTTGTTCAGCGAAACGTCAAAGACAAGATCCCACTATCGGCAACTTCAGTATATATCTACCGATTCACTTGCTTCTGTAGAGTTAAGTGCATAGGCCATAACGGAAAAAAGTTGTTTAGACGGGTTCATGAACACCTACCAGTATGATAGTCAAAAGGAGAGTGTGAAACAGTCAACGGCTCGATTCTAGAATACATTATTACTTCTGGGCGTGCAGCATCAACACAGACTTCATTGACATTCGTATATAAGTAAGATGAAGGCGGTCAAAAGGATTTCGCTTACATCTTCTTCATGTATTCGAAGTTCTTACTATCCATAAGGAGAAACCTAAACCGTAAAATCAGAGACGTGTACTTCCACAGCCTTAGTGTCAATTTTATTTATTTTCAGTCACTCGATTTATCAGTATCGCGGTGAATGTTCTCAAGTTATTTAAACGAAATAGAGGTCTGAGAGTTTCTTAGACTTTTACAAGTCTTGAGCTTCAGAATTATGCTTTGTCATGCATATGAAAAGAACACGAGATCTCAGTTATTTTCTGTTGGCCTGTTTTAAATTTCCACTCTCATAACTTTGAACTAATATGCTTACCTATGGAACTTAATATAACACTTTTATATAGATAAGTTAGTTATGTAAGACGCAATATCTGTTTCCATGATTACATATCTAATTAATCTCCTATGGCTCACCATTTAAAGTCTAATTTGTGTACATAGTGAGTTTATCAACAAAATTTCAAACTTCGACTTCAGTTGCCTGTAATTCGTATCTCAGATGAAACAAAATTTCCACGAAATCATAGACAGGCCTTCTTGGTTAGTACTAACAAGCACGAAACCTAGGTCCATAGATTGATTACGTTCTACAAATGTGTAAAATAATGAAGGTTTTCAACTATTGTAACCCAGAAGGTCCTGGGTTCAAACCCCAGTGGGTGCGTACTGCTGAAGAGTCCCGACTGTCCAGTACTCCCAGGTTTTCTAATGGTTCTGTAACCGATGTTAGCTTATGATGAAATTTTGTAACCAAATAATGAAGGTATTTAGATTTTATGTGAATGTGTTTCATTGTTTATTTTCATACTTTTATTTATCATTGAATTTTCGTTTAATTTTACGTTGTATACATTTCATGTTTTTACAGAACAATGTGATCTCAAATTCCATAAATCACTTTCCATCCCCTAAAAACCAAACCTCCAGTAAACCCCTTTCATCATCCAATGTAAGTAACTGGTTTCCACCACCACCTCCCCCACCACTTCAAGACTCCATGATTGTTCCTGAGAATTTGGATAGCAAAGCACCACATTATCATGAACATTGTCGTCCAGATGAAGTACATTCATCACTAATAAACACCGGGACTAATAAACCTTTGAGTAGTAATACAACCAACCTGGAAACAATGAAGGTTGCTATTCCTGAACTTATTAATCCTTTAACACAAATTAATACATCAATCCCATCAAGTAACTTCAGGTTACCTCCATCTCCACCAACACCGCCTTTACCTCCACCATCTACTCCACCTGGTCCACCGTCAGTTCCACCACGACATCCAGCTACTACACTACAGCATAAAACATTACAAAATAACTCTTCAAAGGTAAGTAAATATTAAAAGTACTAGACTATTATTTTCAAATTTTCGCCATTTTCTATTTATATTGACAACTTGAATATATTGACTAGTTAAGATTTTTTTTTAAAAACAGACTGATAAAAGGTGACTAATTACCTTTGGTCACGACAGACATTTCAATAATATTATAACCTTCAAAAATCATTTTAGAAAATGACAACAAAACACTAAATTTACGTGTATTGTATGAATGTTTCAAGGAAGGTAATCTTTAGATGTTAATGATAAGGGAAAATGAACAGAACATTAATATGATAAAAACACACTTCAAGTTTTGTTGGTCTTTAGCAATCACAGCAAAACGTTTTCTTACACTAAAATGTAACTTAGCTTGTAATGAATTTAATTGGTGGATGGTGACTATCAGTGGAAACTAGGATGCACATTTCGTCCTATTTGGGACTCGTCGTCTGGATTTATCTGCATTCCCCAGTGAGTGATGATGTTCCCACTGAGGCTTGTAATGGTTAAGCAGTCGTATTCGGCTAATATAATTTCTTCTAGTTCATTTGATTACCCTACACTCAGCAGTCAGAACACTTTAAATACTCTTCTTTGAACACCTATCAAAATTCTTAGCTCTAATATTATGCCCCATTAGAAATCGTTCAAACTCTAGACTAACTAATTCATATGAGATGAGAAATAAACTAAATGACATTCAACTAGAGAATGATGAAACAATGGTAAGTTTTGATATAATTAGTCTTTATACTAATGTACCAATCAATATGGTTTTAGAAGCAGTTAAAAAGAACTAACTGCAGATCCTGAACTCACTCATAGGACAAAGCTGCCCTCCGTTGCGGAAATTATTTTAGGAATTCAGTTATGCCTCACATCTACTAACTTTAAATTCGAAGGCAAAATATATAGACAAACAGAAGGTGTAGCAATGGGATCACCAATATCCCATATTGTAGCAGATATGGACAGCTAGGAAAATATTGCTCTTAATACATTTAATCCTACTCCAAAAATATGGTGGAGATATGTGGATGACACTTTCACAGTGTTAAAAACAGAACATATCTCTAGCTTCTTGACACACATAAACTCACTAGTAGAGGGAATGAAATTTACATTTGAATCGGAAAATGAACAAGGAGAATTAGCTATGCTAGATTGTAAAATAAAACGAATAAAGAAGGTAAACTGCACACTAGCGTTTATAAAAAGCCAACGCATTCTGATAGATATTTAGACTTTAATTCATCTCATCCGTTAACTGTTAAGGCAGGCTTAGTTAAGTGTCTAACAAACCGAGCAGTAGCACTAAGTAGCACAAGGAAAGACCTAAATGATGAAATAAAACATAGAAGAGGCATCGGTGTTACATAAATATCCTATAAAGTTCATTAGAAAGATCGAAAAAGGCCAAAACCAAAATAAAAATAATTGTGAAACTAGTAATGATAACATAAATAAGAGAGAATATAAGTCATCTACTGTTGTACCATATAAGGAGGGGACATCTGAGACCCTACGTAGGATTCTAAATAAAGCAGGAATTAGGGTGGCATTCAAACCTACAAACTCACTCAGGTAGGACAAGCTTTGTAGGCTAAAAGACCCGGTGGACGCAATTAAACAAAATAATATAATTTACAAAATACCTTGCAATGACTGTGAGTTAGGTCAACTACATAGGTCAAACTGGTAGATCAGGAGTAGTGTGATTATCAGAACATAATAATTTAGCTAAGGTAAGAATGATTGACCCCACGAAGATAAGTAATTTAGAAAAAAGCTCAGAAATCATTATACATGCAAAAACACACAATCACACAATAGGGTGGGAGAGGATTAAAATTCTAAGAAGTAATCTATGTAGGTGGAGAGAAAGATTGATTACTGAATCCTGCCTGGTTCATTGAGTCTACACCCAACACATGCAACAGAAATGATTCAATGCAAATACCAGAGATATGGAAGATATTATTACCACCAGTCAAATCAGATGAGGATAATAAATAATCTCAAAATTCTATTTCAATTCACGTACATCATAACATTCTAACAAGTTACTTATTTGACTATAAAAGCAGTCGTCTTATTTCCCATGTGATTGTAATTGATCAATTACACTCATATTATTATTTCTGAATGTACATTATCTCATATTGAATTTTATTCCAATATCTAGTCAATTCCACTCATGTATATAAATGAAGGAAAAAAGTTGTGTGAGTGAGTGCCTTGATATGATTAAGAGCAGTAGTTTGTGCTCAAAACGTCATCAGTTAATATTACTGTATAACACTGTGTGATTTATCAAAATAAAATCTTATCCATAATGGAGTTATACCCCAGACGAAGTTGATTTAAAACAAGTAAAAAAGAGTCACTGTTTGGTGTTCATCATGTTTAACTGCAAATAATGAAGACTAACCACTTATAATGTAATTCATTGCCTTCAGATTGAAGGGTCTTAGATTCAAACTATACTGTTTATACTGAGTAATATCACACCCATCCACTCACACGCACACTTATTTCAGCTTACAGTCTAGTACATCTAAAGCTTAGTTGGATATATATAGGTTGCATTATTTTCGATTATCATAACAAGACTCCATGAATATTATCTCTTTCAATAGCCAGTATTACATAACAAAAACTGAAGAGGTGAAAAAATGAAATAAATAAGTGAATGAAATCCATATTCAATATTTGAGCACAACAGTATAACATTACACTATTTACTATTGACAAGGATAGTAAGGTTTCCATTCAATGATTGATCACTAGGGAGTAACCAGTGTCAGCGTCTAATCTTTGATGTTGGCGCGGACTAAATTCTGTCGGTCAAGTTTACAATGTGGTCACAAAGCTAGATGATGCACCATCGTTGGCCAGTCTGAATTGATGTTAAGGGGTTGGAGGAAGTCGGCAGGAAGCCGGAAACCTAGGTTTCGTGGTTGTTGGCATCTGTTAGCAAGGCGTATCCACAATCTTAAAGTAAAATTGATATCTCCTTTGAGATTCAATGCCACTTCACTCAATGCTGCAATCAGAAACGTTGCCACTTAGGTATTCAGTTGACCTCCTACAGGATTGTGATAGTTACATCGATTGACAACTTGGAGGTCATGAGTATTCCACTGCGGCAATAGGTGGGTTCGAATGTCAGAGGAAACTGTAGAAACCAAAACTGAAGTGTTGTGGTTTGAACGCAAGAAACTTATCCTCATGTTCTACTGTTTAGCTAACCAGAGAACTTCCTTGAGTTACGCCCAGTCCCAAAGTGTTCCGACGAAAGAAAAAAGACAGTTACTTGCGGTAAAATCTGTGGTAATATTTAGCAATAATAAGATGTTAAAACTCAAAATTACGTTAGCGGGCAATAAGGAAACAGGCATAAAATGGACTCACACAAAAATCTTGGAGGATCTGGACTTCGCCGATGATATATGTCTGATTTCCCACAAACTGGAAGATATGCAAGCGAAAAGCGACAAGTTGGCAGAAGAAGCATCGAGTGAAGACAGGACTTCAGGTGAACATAGAAAAGGTGGAGACAGAGGTGATGAAGATTCCTGGACAACACCAACAGCAACAATCACGACAACAGACAACAATCAGCATAAATGGAAGGAACCTGAGAGAAACAACCTCTTTTATCTACCTGGGAAGCATCGTTTCAACTACAGGCAGACGGAACTGACGAGAATATCAAAGCCAGAATTGGAAAAGCAAGACAAGCTTTCATTACTCTCAAGTTTGTGTGGAGGTCAACAGCACTCAGCATCAAAAATAAGATCCGGATTTTCAACTCCAATGTGAAGTCAGTGCTACCCACTATATGGATCAGAGACTTGCACTGCGCGTCATAAAGAGCACATTAAACAAACTACAGACCTTCATTAACAGTTGTCTTCGCTCAATACTCAAGATCAGATGTCTGGCCAGAAAAGATCAGAAACAGAGATCTCTGGGAGCGAACCAACCCAGCAGGAACCGATTGTGAAACAAATAGGCAGGAAGAAATGGAGGTACGTGGATTGGCCATACTCTGAGGAAACCATCAAGTGACATCACTAGACAAGCCATTGCTCGAGTGGAACCCGAAAAGGAAGCGGCGAATCGGTCGTCAGTGCGAGGGTGGGTGACTTGGAGGAGGTGATGTGAAGAGGAGGTGAAAGCGTATGTGCAGACTTGGAACCAGGCGAAGACTCTAGCAGAGAGCCGAACGCAATGGAAACGTGTGGCTGAAGCTCTATGTTCCTCTAGGAATTAAAGGAAACAGTAATAATATAATAATAATGCTGTTGAGCAGAGGATTTTACAGTACAAAATAAGTACTTCAGAATAAAATTAGTTAGCCAAAAATCAACCGAAAGAAGTACCTTGGAATCAAGTGGAATATTCTCAACAAACTGGGATCGAAACCCTGTCGGCGAGAATCACGAATCCAATAGTTTCTTCAGGCAGTTCAACGTCAAAACTTTCAAGGAAAACGTTGGTTTCATTCAGATAAAATCATAATCGTAAAACAACACATTACCAACACCACCATACAATCGCAAAGAGAAGCATTTAAATTTAGGCATTAAACAAGAACAAAGACAAATAATGATTAAGTCAACAGGTGATATACCGCCTAGGAGAAAAGAGGACAGTAACTACAAAGTTTAAGTATCCAAATAAATACCAGTTTTGTAAATACATCGTTGAGGAGGGATTTTCCAAACAATTCCGTTAAGGAGACATCAGTTCCTTCGAGGTTGTTGATGAGTGCTAACAAATGGCAAACCAAAGTCCAGGACCCCCTGTCGATTACCTGTAACCATCTAACCAGGTTTCCATCCATTTACACCGGTAATTTTACGATATCACTTCATTCCGTTTTACGATATGATGGAATCTATGATATGACATGGATTCTTGTTTCATTTAGGCACGGTTTCAAAGGTAATGACAACGTCAAGGTTATTCTCTGTGTTAGCCAGTCAATGATATCC